CTGACTTGTTTCTCAAGAACCAAGTGTCTATGTAACACTGACAGGGCAGTTAATGTGATATTAGAGTAAGACCTGAGCATTATTCACACATTCAGCTATGACTGCATTCTTGTGCAGATCTGCCTCTCAAAACTTTGTGACTGCATGTATTATATGACTTAATCACATGCTTCCTTTTTCATGTTAACCAAACCCTAAAGCCGACCACTGATGTGCTGAGTCGCGCACACATGTGCTCAATTAAAGCCAAATCTCCAATTGGTTACTTACGAAGCATCATGCTCACCTTATTATATAGGCGCTTCTGCTACACTTAATTTTAATTGTTTGAAAGTGTTTTTGGTATCTGTTGAGAACTTTTTGACCTCCCACATGAAAATCAAGAATAAGGTAGAATAGATTTATCTAGGACTTAAGGATAAATACATATAATCAAAAAGGACAGAAGGAAGATTTTATTCCTGATCAGTGAAAAGGAATTTCACACAAATACGAGATTGTAAATAAGAAAATGCTAACCTTGGAGACAAAAATTCTCATGGAAGCCCCCAAAGTGAAAAAAATTTACTGGTACCCTACTTGGATGATTTGATACACATCTCTAGATCATAGAAAATAATCACCTTAGGTAAAGGAATAAGTAATTTAGGGAGTGACAAGGATCTCTCTGCTCACTTAAATTACCAGCATCACCTCCACAGGCTAATCCTTGCCCTCCCAACAGGATGCATGTGCTGTTCTCTGCTGTTCAAATTGGTTAGTGGGTTTCAGAAACATTGACAACTGCCTGAATTTTAACTTACAGCTTAGGTTTGTAATTCTCAGGATCCACTGAACCCACCTCAAAGTGCCACTCACCTTGCTGTGCCTGACCCTGGCTCCTGGATGCAGGTTCCCTTCCAGCTGCTCAGCTCAGTCCCCCAGGTTTCACCTGGTCAGGCTCCTGCTCTGCTCCACTGGAGGCTTGGGCCACCAGCTGCAGCCACCAGGTCAGGGCCGCTTCCTAGCGGCTGGTTGTCTATACAAGGCTGAATGCCAGGCAGAAGTGGCTTCCAAGGACCAGCCAGAACTTTGATTTGGCTCTAGCACAGCTAGCCAGCCGCCAGGCTGCCCTAACTAGGTTTTCCTGGCTGGAGCTTCACAGTCAGAGCCTTGGGACACACTGGGCAGGAAAAACTAAAGGGTTCCGTGAAGTAAAATTAACCTCTTCCCAGTTGTATTTCAACCTGCATACTCAGAGCACATTAAATATAATCAGAGAGATGAAAGGGGTCAAAGGGAAAGGTTACTAACATGGGATAGATTGCTCAAGTTTTAAATAAGGTCTCTGGACAACACTTCAAAATACTTAATTTGGGACCCTGATTTTCAATACATGTAAAAGTTTATTGAGGTGGTCCTAGGTGTATAGCTTAGCAGTACAGCACTTGCTGCCAGGCTCTGGGTTAGATCCCCAGCACCAAAACAAAAAACAAGGAAAATCTACCTTCACTCAAAGGAGCAACAGACTATCTATCTAAACCACCCAAGTATGAAATGAGAAAAGAGGATGGGGAAAGTTCACCTACACCATCCCTCTGTACAGAAATATCAGTGCTTATTTAGAAACACCATTTCCTCTTCAGTGTCCCAAACCCTCCCACATTCAGCTGCTTGCTACTCCACATTTGAACTGCCTCCAGGGGTTGAGCCAGTCTTTCACTCCTATTAAAATACAGAGGATTCGAGGAAGAAAAATAAACTCTTAGACACATCAGAGCCTCTGCCCTGTCTTGAGAGTAGACTTTGGATCATCAACAGGGATGCAAGGAGACTCTAAGGGATTGGGGGGGGTAGGTACAAAACTGGAATTGAATGCTTTATTTGAATAAAGGTATCCTTGAGTTCCATTAAGTACACAATTTGCAAGATAAAGGCTTAATATTTCTGATACTAAGCTGTAGAAAGAAATATCAAACTTATATTTTTAAATTAGATTCCAAGAACTATTAGTGGAACAGAAAATTGAGTGAAACAACAATTTAGGTGGAAAATTAAGTTAACTCTGAGATATTAAAAATAATTGCTTTTAAAAAGGGTTTGAAAGACAGCAAATCTAACAGAACACAGGAATAAGCAAAAAATAAGATATAATAAGTAAAAAGGTGGAAAATTAAGGAGAAAATATCTACAAATTAACATAAAAATTGTTCCTGGAGCCCCCACCCCCAAAAAGACATTCTTCGAAGCACACTACTCCCTAGAATTAATTAAAAGGCCTATTTGTCATAAAACTGAAGATCTGTTAAGAATTTGAGCCCCTTAGACAAAGCTATAATGAAAAATACACTTATACTATTTAAAGTATGATCCATATTTAAAACAAATCTGTTTATGGAATAGTTTTGAACAATTTCCATTTGGTCATGAATATTACAATCATTCTCCCTGAAGATGCACAAACAAATCATAAAATTAGGAAAACAGTACTATCAAGAATGTCAATTGGGCTACCCAGTGAACATTTGTACAGGTATAATATAAATACTAGCTACTGTTTCAACTTTAGAAATCAACCAATAGATATAACAAGGTAAACCAAGGTTATAGAACAGAATGCAAGTGTTAACTTTGGAAACATAAATACACAGTTTAGAACTGTTATGCTAAAAAAAGGGGGGGAAGAGTGCCTTGAACATCATCCCACGAAGTATACTTCTATGGTGAGTTAAAGGGAAATGAATTAAATCTTCATCTGTTTTAAAATTTTTCATCTATTTTGGCCAACAAAAAACGTATGTGAATAAAGCCAACAATCAGAAATTGTCAAAGGCAGTTAATTGTGGAATGAGGGATGACTATTTGGAAAACGTTGCTTTCTACTAGAAACACAACATTTTACAGTTATAGATGTTATCCTGATTTTTTGTTTTTATTGAATTTTTGTGTATTTCACACATAGCCTCTTAATCATTTTTACACACCCTTCCCCATCAGCATCCTCCTATAGCTCCCACATTGGATTTCATATATTCTGTCATTTATGTTAAGGCCCACTGAGTCAAGTTAGTATCCCCAGACGCCCCTCAGTGCAAGTTCATACATAGGGTCTAGTCAGCCTATCTCAAGTCACTCCCTTAAAGAGGATCAGCTGTTTCTCACCTAGAAGTAATTTTTAAGGAAATCATTCAAAACTATACCTAGAGATGAGAGTTAAAACAGAGATTTACATTTGGTTTGTGATGCTGATGGAAGTATGCAAGCTTTCCAGCTTTATATGTGATTCAAAAAATGTTATTTAGAGCTGGAGGGGGCTCATCAGTTAAGAGCACTTGCTCTTACAGAGGACCCAGGTTCAATTCCCAGCACCCATATGGCAGCTAACAACCACCTGTAACTCCAGCTCCAGGAGAATCAGACACCCTCTTCTGACCCCAGCAACTACTACAAACACACACACACACACACACACACACACACACACACACACACAGTGAACATACATACACGCAGGCAAGACCCACACACACAATAAATTTTTAAGTGCTATTTCTAGTCATTTGACTAAACAAAAATTAAAAATTTAGAAAGCTATCAGGATAGCTATGACTAAGATGCTCTAAGTAGAAAGAAAGAGACTATGAATGCTTTTGCAAACATAAATTAGAAGAGAGAAATAAAGCACACAGATATTACAAATAATGCAAATATTTTCATTCATTTAGTCTTTCCCAGAACTGAGATTACAAAATGAAGTATTTCCCAGATTCTCATTAGCTGAAGTTCCCATTTGAGCTGTGTATGTTGTGTATTATTCATCAGTATTCCTATATATCCACACATAGAGAACTACACACTGATAATCAACTATAGCATGGTAATCTATTTCCTTGTCTACTATTCATTCTTTTTATATAGACTCAACCCATTTTGAGAAAATCTATTCTTTGTGATTTCTGCCCTTTAGAGCTTAAAGTCAATCTTAATTTTCAACTCAAAGGTTTTTAATTCTATATAGTCTGAGCTTTTCAAAAATTATAAGGTTTTAGATATCATTATGGCATTTTCAAGTTTAAACTTCTTATAGTTTGTATGAAATTTTTTTTAATATGGCATTGAGGTAGGTATCTGGTAAACTCAAGATACGTAATGAATGAAAAAGACAGGGTTCTTTCTCTTATCAACTGTAAAATATGAATCAAAAATCATGCTGAAGAGCACTGCTTTTGTTAATAAATGGGTTTTGTTCTAAGACTAATTTACATTACCACATCTTGGCACTCTGGGATGCTATACATTAATATTTGATTCTTGTACGACTTGTTCACTGCATTGATTTCACAAGACACAAAACAGAAATTCAAAATATAAGAGCTAGGAACTACGACATGTAACAAAGAAAAAACGAAAAATGCCTTTGGAAAACTTAGGGAAAATACGTCTCATCTTTTATTTCTAAGGAAAGTCTGTATATTATAAAAACAAACATTTGTTATACCATTGAGTACAGAGCTCATATTGCAAACTTAACCATTTTCATTACACGTCTGATGATTTAAAAATCAAAATAACCTTGAAAGGCTTCATTCTTCCACTGTTTCGTGAAAATCATGTTATATTATACTGACACACTGTTGCTTTAAAGACTGAAGTAGAAATGAGACCCAGTAATTTTTAACCAAAAGGACAACATATACTATTGCTTGTTTTATAGGATCAATAAACACTATACTAAGACTTAGCACTTGGACATGAAATATGTCTTAACCTTCTGAAGAATATACTAGAAATAAGGAAAACAGAATGCATTAATATTTCCAGATAATACCATTTGTATCAGTAACTACAATGTTGTAACTTTCCGCATTTCACGTGAAGTTTTGGTGTTTCTTAAAGGAATGGGAGAACAGAAGATACAAAAAAAATGCCAGTTTTCACACTTCTATTAAAAATTTTAAAAATAAAATGACTTTTCTTCTCTGCATCAAAACTACCACAGACTTGAAGTATGTATGTTTGCTTTAATCCCATGATTCATCATCGACTGGATCAGGAGCTTGTGAAGACGAAATCCCTGCTGTGTTCAAAGTGTTCTTGCCCTGGTAATTCTTAAAAAAAAAAAAAAAAATGAAACAATAGTTATGACAGCCTTAATGCTACATTGTCCAGACTAAGAGCAGAGATTCAAGTTTTCTACCTTGTCTAAGTATACGTGATTTTGATGCTCTTTTGTATCTGACTCATTTGAGGGGGTGGAAAAAGGCCTATATAGACCTGGGGACGTCTAAATTGCATGAAATACATCAAGAAAAAGATTTTTTTAACCACTAGATTTTGAAAAGTAGAAAAATTTAACATATTACACTTCAAATAATCATTAATATTTAATAAGTGTACTCACTGCTTCTGTACCAAGAGATGCTGCATTAAAAATAGACATCAAGACTGGTAGCCCCATCACTTTAGCGTTTTGTCTTAATAATGTGGGTCAGGATTTTAAAATTAAAGAATTCTCTAGAATGTCTGAAAAGATCCCAGCAAATGCCAGGGAAAGGAATTAAGGTGAAGCCAGGTGTGCTGGCGCATGCCTCTTAAACCCAGCACTAGGGTGTGGAGATGGGTGGGGAGGAGGGTGGGGGGAGGGAGCAGATATATCTTTATGAGATAGCGACCAGCCTGGTCTACAGATCAAGTTCCAAGCCAGCAAGGGCTACAAAAAACAAAACAAAACAAAACAAAAAACCCAAAAAGGAATTGAGGTGTTTTAATATAACTCTCACAGTTCTGTGTATATGTGTATATATATACACATATACACATATATACAATTTTTTAAAAATTTAACTACCTTTTAGGCATGAAAATTATAGTTTCAGATGAATTACTGAACACTGTTACCTCAAGGTTTAAAGCACATTTTCAAGTAATTTAAGTCAGTTTATTTTTCTCCTAACCTTTCTAGTATCAACAGATGCAAACACAGTTCCTCTTCCACTATTATTGAAGCCAGGAGTAACATATGTACTAAAGGCAATTTCTTCCAACCACGCAGGAACATCTTGTTGAGCCTTTAAAAAAATTAAAATTAACTTCATATACAACATAAAAATCTCAAAGATTGGAAAAAGGTCTCAACAAAGAAATAAGCAACACTATTCAATTTTTAAATGTTTAAACTTACATCTGACAGAACTTTGACTAGAGGTTGTGCTAAATGATTATCTGATTCAGTATCAAAAAAAGAAATAGCTCTTCCAGTATTTCCACAACGCCCAGTACGCCCAATTCGATGAACGTATTCATCAATAGTAGAAGGAAGATCAAAATTGATAACATGCTGAACATTTTCAATATCTAGTCCTCTGGCAGCTACTGATGTAGCAACAAGAACTGGGCATTTTCCACAGCGAAAATCTCCAAGAGCCTGCTCTCTCTCCCTCTGTTCCCGATCGCTTGAAAGAAAAGGAAGGAAATTTGCATTAGAGCCACTTTTAAGAAAGTCATTAAAGTTCAACAAGCGATTTATTTTATTTTGAGGCAGGGTCCCCCTATAGTCCCAGCTGGCCTAGAACCCAATATGTAGACCAGGCTGGCCTCAATCTCACAGAGATCTGCCTACCTCTGTCTCCAAAAATTAAAATTAACTTCATATACAACATAAAAATCTCAAAGATTGGAAAAAGATCTCAACAAAGAAACAACACTATGGGATTAAAGGTGTGCACCATCATGCCTGGCAAAGCAATTTATTTTAAACAGTTAAAATGACAGCACTTAATATTAATGCCAACTTTCCACATATCAGATACTATAGTAATCCTTCCCAAGCCACCATTTTATGCTCACAGTTACTTTGACTAGAAAAATCATACCCTTTGTAGATGAGGTAAGATACAGCTAACAGAGTCAGAATATAGACTCCAGTAACACAAAAGTCAAGGCCTACCTATAACCTCAAGCTTTAAAGTCTTGAACGTGTCCCCCACCCCCACCCCAATTCAATTGCTTGATTAGAATCCTTGCTCAGAAAAAAAGTTTTAGAGTACAATTTCGGGGGGCTGGAGAGATGGCTCAGAGGTTAAAAGCACTGGCTGCTGCTGCAGAAGACCTGGGTTCGATTCCCTGTACCCACATGGTGACTTAAACTGTCTGTAACTCCAATTCCAGGGGAATCTGACTCCCTCTTCTGACCTCCATGGGCACTGCCTGATATAGGTGCACTTACATACATGCAGTCAATATACTCACACAAAAAATAAAAATTTTAAAACGTAAAATTTCAGAATTGTATATATTCAGTAATTATTATTTTAGATACATTAGTAAAGTATATTTACTCCAACTAAAAAATGTCAGGTGTCAGAAAGATTCAGTATAAGAGACATTTAGACATAAGGGTCAGGGATCTTTAAATGAAATCTTTTGAGAATTTCCCACTCCTTACGAAGAGCTTAAGGCAGACCTTTAACTTACCCATCTTTACCACTTAGTGCTTATAAACACAAAGAAAGTTTTGGGAGTTTAGCCAGTAAAGGTGCTTGTCACCAAGCCTGATGACTTGAGTTTGATCCCCAAAAACCACAGTGGAAAGAGAGAACCAGATCCCAAAAGTTGTCCTCTAACCTCCACATGTGTGCAAGTGCTAGGCACATACGTAAGCACACACATACTCTAACCTTGTTTAAAAAAGAATGAAGAGTAAGAGTTTAGCCCTTCTGGTTGTTACTGTACTGTCCTGGTACAAAGAATGAAAAAAAGTTAACAGTTTGGACTTTGAAAGAATACTGAATCCTAGGATTATGCCACACTACAGCACTCATTCATGTATTGCATGATGATGGAGACATATTCTAAGAAATGTGTCACTAGGCTATTTCATTTGTGCAAATATAATAGAATGTAATTACACAAAATAAGATTCTACATCACTAAGTGATATAATCTTATGGGACACAGTATCATATATGCCCGTTACCGACCAAAATATTGCATGGCGCATGTTTCTTAAATGCCAAACAAAAGTCATTTTCTTACTTTCCTCTCTACTCACCCATGAATACTTGTAGTTGATATTTTTTCTTGACAAAGAAAAGTTGCAATAAAATCTGCTTTTTTCTTGGTTTCAACAAAGACCATAGTTCTTTCATCACCTACAAAACAATGAAATTAACATTCTAACCAAAAAATTAAGAAAAGGAAAAAGGGACATATTAGAACAAGAAAGTTTGTTTCATCCACCACTATAAAGCATCCCCAAGCAGGCCTGGTATATGGAGGAAGTATTTCCTGAACTGATGTCAAGGAAAGAGAGGAGAACTATCTTCCTACCAGAGGGCTTTTTTAAAAAGTAAGTTTGCCATTCTCCTCAAGGAAAAAGAACTGCCTGATAACTTTTTAATTTCAAATTTGTTTCAGTTCCTTTTTCCCTATTTCCTTCTTTATAAATGTCTCTACTTCCAAAAATAATCCTAAAAATAACATCCCCCACCCAAAAAATAGCAACATAAAAACCTAGTGTTTACTTTAAATAAAACAAATTGTATCTGAGTAAAGACAGTAATTCAGATAGTGAAGTGTGCAGAATCTTGAAGAAACAGCATTACAAGGCAAAAGGAAAAGGTATGAAGGCTCTGGGACACTGACATTCTCATGCTGCTCAAATATATATACATACACACACACACACACACACACACACGCGGAGGGAGGGAGGGAAGGGAGGGAGAAAAGAGGCACCCACTTGCCTTGGTCACTGTGAGCAATGGTAGCAGCAAGTATTAGGGCAATGAGGCAGAAATGTAACTGTTACAGTTATGAGCAAAGAGTGGAGGGTGAGCAAGGGAAAGCAGCAGGAGATGAAGTCCACTGAATAACATTACTTGGAGAAAAGGAAGGTTTTGAGCAGAGTTGTGATGTGACTTAGCAGTTAATGAAATATATGTATGTTTACATATACGTATGTTTGTTTTCGTTAAGACAGGAACTTTACTGTGTACTTCAGGCTGGCTCAACATCTCAATACCCCTGGCTTAAGCCTCCTGAATGCTAAGATTCCAAGCATGCACCACCACATCCAGCTTTCCAGATACATATGATGGTAGAACCAAGAGGATTTTGCTATTTGATCAGAGGTATAAATAAGAAAAGAAACCAGGAATGACTTTAGTGACTATGAAACTGAAAGAATGAAATTAACATCAAATGGTAAGGAAAGGCTGTAAGGAAAAAGGGTTTTAGGTGCCACAGAGATGGCTCAGTGGTTAAAAGCAGGTACTGCTCTTACAAGGGACCCAAATTCAATTCCTAGTACCCATATAAGGCAGCTCACAACTTCCTGTTAACTCCAGCTCCAAGGGATCTGACACCCTCTTCTGCATTCTGTAGATACCTTCATTCACATGCATATACCCATACAGACATACCCACAAATATACATAAAATTTAAAATTATATATATATGTGTATATGTGTGTGTGTGTGTGTGTGTGTGTGTGTGTGTGTGTCTTTTTGAGATAGGATCTTCCTGTAGCCTCAGCTGTCCTGGAACTCACTATGTAGACCAGGCTGGCCTTGAACTCACAGAGATCCACCTGCCTCTGCCTCCCAAGCACTGGGATTAAAGGCGTGCGCCACCACACCTGGCCCTAAACTAAGATATTTTTAAAAAGAGTAAGAAAAAGGGCTTCAAGGACTGGGAATATGGCTCAGTTGGTAAAGTGCTTCCCATGCAAGAAGCATGAAAACCTGAATTTGAATCCCCAGCACCCACGTCAAACAGTGGACATGGTCGTGTATGCCTCTAACCTCAGCACTGAGGAGGTGAAGTTAAGTGGATCCTTGGGGCTCACAGGCTACCTACTCTAGTCAAATTAGTTGAGCTCCAGGTTCTGTGAGACCCTATCTCTAAAATAAGGTGTGGCTAATGAGAGCAGGCACTTTACCATCTGAGCCATCATGTCTATGTTCACTCTGAATCTGTTACTGAAGCAACAGAACTGAAGCTGTAACCTTGCTATGCATCTATAATTCAGAAAGAGCTCTATTCACTATGAAATCGCTGTTAAAATACCCAATGGGAGTATTAATACAAGTCTCTTAAAGAAGCTCTATTCTGACTGATTTACAGATATGAATAAAATATAAAAATGTAATCAAAATAAATATTCTTAAAATTCCCAGAAAGTGGGACTGGAGAAACGGCTCAGCAGTTAAGAACACTAACTGCTCTTGCAGAGAACCTGGGTTCGAATCTCAGCACCCACATGGCAACTAACAACTGTCCATAACTACAGTTCCAGGGGATCTGAAGCCCTCTTCTGACCTCCATGGCATTGCACAATATGGGTGCACTTACATACATGCAGACAGTGCACTCATACCCATAACATGGAAATAATAAAATATTAAAAATTCCCAGAAATTAAATGTGTAATACTTTTTAAATTTCTGAAAAACTTATTTCAAATACTAAGTCAGAAACATTTTAAGATGCCAAGTTCATGCAATTAAGTGAAATGTTTGATTAGACTGATTAATCTTGATTTTTTTTTAAAAGTGCTATTATTTTTCCTACTATTAACAAGTATTATATAAACATGTATCAAAGAAGGTAAAATCATTGCTATATTAAGAACATGCAAATTTTCATTCAACTACACTGGACCATTATTCAATTTATTTATGAAATAAACCATTTTGAAGATTATTCTCAAAACTTTTAGGTAACCTAAAACAGTAGGCAATGTTTGGGAGTATAACATGTCTTGGGGACTACAAATGGCTCAGGGGGTAAAGGTGGATGCTACCAAGTCTGACAACTTGAGTTTATTCTCTGGAATCCACATGTTAGAAGGCTAAAATCTGCAAGCTATCCTCTGACCTATCCATTGACACAAGTGCAATGGTGCACACACACGCGCGCGCACACCCACACCCAATAAATAAATGTAGAAAAAATTTCAAAACATTTCTCAATAGTCCACCTTTATCCTCAATTTCCTCTGAGACAGATTTACTATGGTTAAAAGTTATAATTAGCACAAGTGCTTACAATTACATTAGGAATGACAGAGATAGAATATAAACTACATGTGCTTTTGATTCTCTAAGGAAAAAAGATTGAATATCTCCAGGTTTTTGTTATACAAAACCTGTTATTTCTTGTTATTTACCATATTAAAATTAATTAAAAATTAAATACTTATTTGAACATAAAGCATCTTGTTTCAATATAATTATTAAAATCGTTTCTATACCTTTCATAGCCCTTACAAGGTTCCCAGGGACCCTGAAAACACTTACTTTGTTCTAAAGTATCAATGTGTTAATGAATATCGAAAAAGCACAGTGAAACACGAAACTTGGAAGACCAATTTTATTTGCTTTGATTTACAACACAGAAGGTAAAAATCTGTGAAATATGTAAACATTTCAGCAAAGTTCAATCAATTTATGGAATTACTTGGTGTGCTCATGTTTAACAACTTTACTTGCAGAATGAAAGGTCACTCCTTAATATACTTGTCATTTGTCTATGGAAGCAGGAATACCTGTGACTTCCTAGCTTTTGATTAATTAGGAAAAGAAAAAAATAAATAAAAGCCCCCTACTTACGAGAGTGCTATGGTTCTTTACAACTATGCTAACTTCTGTTCATTTCTAAATGCCAGGAGATAGTTCAGTGGGTAAAGTGCTTGCTGCATAAACATGAGAACTGAGTTTGGATCCCCAGAACCCACATAAAACCAGACATGGCAGCACATATCTATAATCCCAGTGTTCCTATGGTGAATGGGAGACACAGACAGGAGAATCCCTACTTCATAAAGTCTGTCTTGAAAATTAATTAGCACATGTCAGGGCTGGAGAGATGGCTCAGCAGTTAAGAGCACTGACTGTTCTTGCAGAGGACCAGGTTCGATTCCCAGCACCCACATGGTAGCTACGAACCATCCTTAACTCCAGTTCCAAGGGAATCCGAAGCCCTCTTCTGACCTCTGCGGCATTGCGTGACACGGGTGCACTCACATACATGCAGGCAATACCCTCATAAAATTTAAAAAAAGAAAATTAACACATGTCAAAGTACTAAAGTTGTATGCAGCTCACAGATATTATTCCTATTTTTAGGTGCTTATGTGTTATAAAACATCTGCTAAAACAGCTCATCTCAAAGTATCTAGCTTTCAAAAGTTTTCTAAGCCAAGTGTGGAACCTAACTGTATTCCCAGCACTTAAAAAACTGAGGTAAGATCACTTGAGATAGTCAGGCAGGTAGAAAGGAGGGCAGGAAGGAAGGTTAGAAGGAGGGGAGAAGGGAAGAAGGGAGGTAGGTAATGGGAAGGGAGGTAATGGAAAAGAAAGTTTTTATAAAATAGTAAAAACTATAGAGTCCAGACAGTGAAATTAATATGAGACGATTCACTAGAAGCATTCCAGGTTAGTCACATCTATACAGCAAGACCCTGCCTAAAAATAAAATTAAAAAAAAACAAACAACTAAAGACCAGAAGTTTTTAAATACTTACTAAAACACCATTCCAACTTTTCTTTTTGTTCATTACTAGGGTTGACTGACGTCCTGTCTTCCCATTCTCCTCTCTCAACAATGACATTCAAACCAAAATAGAATTACTAATATAGGGGATTATAGATGGAAAGATAGTATTGCATGTAAGTAGATCCAACTTGTGAAATGATATGAAGGCATCAGAGTGATCATATGAAATTATTTCTAGTCTCAAAACAAAGCTATTTCAAACAAAAAAAATTTAGAGAAGGGAAGAGAAATTTTTTTCTCATGGGTATTATGAAGGATAGAACATGTATACATCCTCAAGTCTGCTCTAGCCCTAAAACTCTTTAAATCTTATTAATATGAGAAGATTCACTAGAAGCAAAAAATGGAGAACCAGAAACAAAAACAAGAGTTCTCTTTGTTTTTCCTTTAGGGTTTTGCTAAGTAGGCAGGCCAGCCTCAAACTCAGATCCTCCTGCCTTATCTTCCTGAGAGCTGGAATTACTGGTATGTTCAACTATGCCCATCTTGTAAAACTAGCTTTTGCTAGAGTAACAGTGATATACACAAGTTTTATATTAAGCCTTTTTAGTTTTCTAAAACAAAAAATATGTACTCTTCTGAAATTATTATTATTATTTTTGGTCTTTTTGAGACAGGGTCTCCCTGTAGCCCCAGCTGTCCTGGAACTCATTATGTAGACCAGGCTGGCCTTGAGCTCACAGAGATCCACCTGCCTGTGCCTCCCAAGTGCTGGGATTAAAGGTGTGCACCACCACGCCCGGCCTGAAATACTTTTTAGTTAAATATTACATTATATGTCTTATAAACCTATATTCAATATTGATGGAGATAAAGGACTATATTTTTATATAATTTACATAAAATTAGATCAAAGTCATCTATAAAAGCTTTAGTGAAGAAGGAAATAAAACTTATTAAAATTATACAAAATAGTGATTTTTAAAAATTAGTCATTTAAAAAATTCAAAATCATGATAAAAATAATTATATCAAAATAAGATACCTATGTTTCGTAGAATTTCAACAAGTTTCTCTCTTTTTGAGTACTGGCCAACTTGAAGAATGGTCTGCTGAACATCTCTGCAAGCTCCTCCCACTTGTCCAACAGCAACAAATAAATAACTTGACTTTAAGAACTCCCCAGCCAACCTTAAAAGACAAAACATTATTCCTTAGCTTATCCTCTAATTATTCTCCTGATTTTAGAGCTTCATATGCTATTTCCATCCATATTAATTAGACAACTTAAAACAGTGATAAGATGGTTTACTTACATCACCCAAGTACTATTTTCAAAGATCATGATAAAATGTTAAGATTTTACAAAATATACAATTACTATCAAAAAAAAGTTTGTGTCAAACTATAGGCATACTAATTTCCAGTGGATCTTCTGTCCATGCAAAGCTATGTGAAATGTGTATGTAAAAATACAAAAAAATTGTGAACCATAATGCTAACTATAACAAGCAGAATTTTTAATTAAATACTGAAATGTGGGGGCTGGAGAGATGGCTGAGCAGTTAAGAATACTGGCTGCTCTTGCAGAAGGCCAGGGTTCAAATCCCAGCACCCACATGGTGGCTAACAAACATCAGTAACTCTAGTTCCAGGGGATCTGACACCCTTTTCTGACTTCCGTGGGCATTGCATGACACAGATACACTGATACATGCAGGCATAACATTCATACATACAAAATAGAGGTTTTTAAATATTTAAATGTAGGGGCTGGAGAGATAGCTCAGCAGTTAAGAGCACTGACTGCTCTTGCAGAGGACCCGGTTCGATTCCCAGCACCCACATGGCAGCTACGAGCCATCCTTAACTCCAGTTCCAGGGGAATCCGAAGCCCTCTTCTGCCCTCGGCGAATCCGAAGCCCTCTTCTGCCCTCGGCGGCATTGCACAACACGGGTGCTCTCACATACATGCAGGCAATACACTCACACATAAAATTAAAAAAATATATAAATTATTTTAAAAATTCAATTAAAAAATTCAAATGTAGCTCAACTACATTTAGGGGATAGAAATGTAGCTTAACTGTCAGAGTGCTTGCTTTCATGCACAAAGCCCTAAGTTTCACCACCAGCACTGTAATCTCAGCCCCTCCACCTCAGGAGGTGGAGGCAGAAGGATCTAAAAGTTCAAGGTTGTCCTTAGCTACAGTCTGAGGCCAGCCTAGGCTATATGAGACCCTGTCTCATATAAGTTTAAGGCCTTAATTCTATTCTAACCTCATAGCTTCTTGAATATATGCTATTAGGATTTGTTTTCTGAAATATTACTTTCTAGTTAAATTACTATGATTGCAATGAATAACTGAACAAACCAGATTACAGATCAGTACTTTTAGTGTCACAACACTAAAATGTTATTGGTAGGGACACTGCCAATTAAGACAGCAGAATTTTTAGCAGTAAATGGGGAGTTCCAAATTTATCTCTGGTAAATTTTTCCCCCTTACATAGCAATTCCTTATTTTCTAGCCATTTTTTTCAAATGCCACAAAATAGCTCAAACTCAGCATATGCAGAATCTGAATAAATTACTGCTGCTTATTGTTCCTTACCTCTCTCTTACCATAAAAGCCAAGCTTCTCAAGAGGGAATACCCTCTCACCCAGGCAACTGAAATTCTTAATGTACCACACCATGTTCTTTAGTGTCTGTGTTAAGCATACTTGAAGCAAGAATTGGGAGCACAAAGATAAACATAGCAATATCAGCCTCAAATGAAACAGTTATTATTAAAAAGTATTACAATTCAACACTAGAATAGTTAACACTAAACAGTTACTAAATTCGAATAAATATACAATGAGTTTTGGTTTTGGTTTTGAGACAGGGTCTCCCTGTAGCCCCAGCTGGCCTGGAACTTGCTATGTAGAGCAGACTGACTTCAATCTCACGGAAATCTGCCTGCCTCTGCCTCCTGAGTGCTGGGACTTAAAGTGTGCACCACCACACCCAGGCTATATATGCAATGTGTTACAGTTTCTTTCACAAGATACATTGACAGGAAATGGATGAAATGAAATTTATTTAGGAGAGCCTTCAAGTTTTAACCTTGATCCAGGGAAGCAGCAGGCAAGTAAAAGACCTAAACTGAAGAGAAGCATAGAGAAGAAACTAAGTCTCTTGAGTACACTAGGAAATAACTGTCAAGCTAAGTATTGCTGAAGGACGGAAAATTAAAGAAACATGAAGGAGAAATTACCATGATTCAAAAGACTATGAAACTATTATTCCAAAAAAAGAAAGACTGAGAAACATCTGGGGACACAAAATTGATTCCATAGGCCTTAGCATATATGACAGAATGCTGTCTATGTCAAGATAACCAGGAAGCAGGGAAAGGCAGATAAGAAAAGCACACAAACAATATATAACCTTCCAAGCCATGGACCCAGCGGCCTACTTCCTCCAATTAGGCCCTACCTCCTAATAATGCATTTAATATAAACTCACAAATGGATTAACCCATTGATGAAGTTAGCACCCTCATGATAATCCTCTTAACACCACCACCAACTGGGACTAAGCCTTCAACACAAGCCTCTGGGTGTGGGTGGGTGGGGCCACATCACAACCAAACCAGAACAACTGTACACCAATAAATTTAAAAATTAGACAAAATGAGCATATAGATATATATGTCCTACCAAAACTGAACCAAAGGGTATAGAAAACCTGAAACTACATTAAAAACAAATAATGAGACAGTAGCAACAAATATCTTCCAAAACAGATAAGAACCAAATGGATTGACTGCTAAATTTCACCATACTTTTAAAGGAAAACTGATGCCAATGTTTCTCAAACTATTCCACAAAATTGAAAGGGAAATAACACTTGCCAACTCATTCTATACAAAGACAGTATTATTCTGATAACAAAAATCTGATAAAGACACAAAGAAAACTCGAGATCAATATCCTTGATAGATATACAGCTTCATTAAAATAAAATTCAATAAGAAAATTTATCGCAAATAAAATTCAACAACACATCAAAGAGACCCTATACCATGATCAAGCTGGTTTCATTCTTGTGATGATTCAACATATGCAAATCAATAAATACAGTACATAAACAGAATCAAGGATAATAATTACATAGTCATCTCAATAAAGGGAAATCCTTTCCAAAATTCACTGTCCCTTCAAAAAGTTGCCAAAAAAGTACATAAGGATCATGCCTAAACATAATAAAGACTACATACGACAAACCTGTAGTCAGCATCATACTCAATAAGGAAAAATTCTAAGTATTTTTTTCTAAAATCAGGAACAAGATAAATTTGTTCACTTTCAACACTTATGCAATGCAGTACTTTAAATTCTAACCAGAGAAAGCCTAGGAATCCTGAGACCAGCCTCCTTCCCTGACAAATATCCCAGTCACCACTCATCAAAGCTCCTCATTCTGCACCAGTCAGAGACTATTACCAAGTACCATAACTGGTCACACATGTACATTGTCTATGAATTAATTGCCCAGACCTAAGTGACACATCTACAATGCAACCTCTATACCTAAGGTTCATGGAACATAGAACAGGGGTAGAGAAGAGGACATTAATGATCTCTCAGTTCTCATTAATAAAGCTCCTTCATGCAGTGGAGGGCCAGGAACACCAAAGGTCACAAATGGCCAAAATGTAGAGATCAAGAGTCTGCTGACTGCTGGTCCTTGGACAGGATCCCTTTATTAAACTTCACACACCCAGGGCTCAGGGACCATCACAGAAGAGGGGGCGGAAAGACTGTTAAGAGCCAGGGAGGAGGTGCATGACCATATGGAACCTGCTCATATGATTCTATGGCAATGGTGTCAGCACACACAAGTCCCATGCAAACACAGGCAGACAAAAACACAGCACAGAACTGGAAAAAAGCAGACCCCAATCTTCTCTGAAGAAATATTGGCAAATGATTGCTGCTAGGTGAAGAAGAGCTGATCATCCTAAAACAAGGGACTCTAGAGAGGCTAACTAGACCTCAGTGAATGGACTTGCACTGGGGAACATCTGCGGATACTGACTTGACACAGTGGGCCTTAACAAGGGTGACAGGGTATCTAGTGGAGGGGCTATCGGAGAGTGCTAATGGGGATGGGGGTACAAAGATGATTAAGAATGTTTGAGGTGTTCTGTATGAAATACACAAAAATTCAGTAAATTAAAAAAAAATTTAACTAGAGAAATTAGAAGAAATAAAAGGGTTAAAAACAGAAAAGAGAAATGCTGAATTACCTGTTTGAAGACTACTTGATTCTATACTTAGAAAACCTTGAAGACTCTACCAAAAGTCTCACAGACATGATAAGCAAATATAGAAAAGTATTAAACATCAACATACAAAAGCAATAGCTTTTTTAATACACCAATAGTGAACTTACTGGGAAGGAAATCAGGAAAACAATCTCATTCACAAGAAGAAAAAAGGAGGAATTCCTAAGAATAATCTTCACCAAAGATATCAAAGGCCTATACAATGCAAATTACAAAACACTAAAGGAAGGAACTGAATATGACACTGAAAAATAGAACGATTTCCTATCTTCATGGCTTTTGAGAATACTGTTTACATGGCCATAGTACCAAAACAACCTAAATGTTCAACACAGTCTTCATCAAAATATCAATGACACTACAGAACTAGAAAAAAATTTCTAAAATTCATATAAAAATACAAAAGACAATAGCCAAAGCAATAAAATTTTAAATAAACTGCTGGAAGAAGCATAATACCTGATTTCAAAAGCAAACAACAAAGTCATAAAAACAAAAACTTCATGGTAGTGGCACAAAACAGATAAGTGGCACAAAGGACTCCCAAATAAATGCATACATCTACAATAAACTGATATCAACAAAGGCATCAAAAATGTATTGAAGAAAAACAAGTTTTCTCAACAAATTTTGTTGGGGGAAAAGGACAGCCACATGTAGGAGACTGAAACTAGATTCATTTCTTATCCTGAACAGAAATCAACTCAAAATGGATCAAGACCTTAATGTAACACTTGAAACTTTGAAACTACTAAAAGAAAGTATAGGGGAAAGAATTCTTCAAGATACTGGTACAAGCAACAAATTCCTGAATAGGACTCCAATATCCCAGGGAACATAACTGAGAATTGGT